AATTTATCCGGATTTTAATTGAACCCATGTGATTGTAACTGCGCTTAATATCATAATGCGATGTAAACAAACCGGTTCTAGAACGGGGTGTTACATTAAGCATATCCTATTATGGATGCTAGCCAATGTATTTTTAAGTCTCTCCTTCTCTTTCAAGTAAACATTGAAGACATCTTTTTTAAGAGTATTTCTAGAAACATGAATCAAATCAGGACATATATAAGAATGCTAATGCCAAAACTTCTTATACTCAGCAAACTTAAAGGGCATATCATGTCCAATAATTGATTTAGCATACATGTCACGTGATATCCTTTGATCTATTTTCATAGATTTTAGTTTGCCTTGCATATCTAACATGACTTGACCAACATTATCAAATTTTATTTGTTTGCACTTAGTGAGGTGACGGTTTAAAGTTGACGTACCATATTGCTTTCCACCCACTTTGTACTCTTGCTTACAAGCATTGCATCTTCCCCTATCAATCCCATATTTGGCTGGTCTAATCTTTGTGAAATATTTCTACCACTCTAATGTTGATGACTTGGCTTTTTTTGTGGACGGTTTAACCGATTCAGATCCTTCTTCAATCTCAATGTCCAACTTTTCAACATCAACATCAATACTATTATTAATTGATTCCATTTGCTAACGCGGTAAGTGTTGGACAATTAATAAGATTAGGAGAGAAATGAATGTCAAAATCTTTTTTAATATATGAACAATAAATCTGGATGAACCAACGACCCAATGACCCAGTGTACCTTGACCAAGTCGATGACTAGTTTGAGTTTTAAAACACTGCTTATTTCAACTAATGCTTGAAATGTAATATTTAATTATAATTGTTTTAATTAATTAATTTAATAATTGTTTTAATTAATTAATTTAATTTTTATTTTTTATTGTTATTTTTTTTAAATATTACATTAAGCTACTATAAAGGATCTCGGCAAAAAGCTAAATCAAATAATGTGACACGAGTAAAAAGTCAATTGGCATAATAGTCGAACCTTAAAGAGGGGAATAGAGGGGTCTCGGCTATAAAGCGAAACCCCAAAGAAATAACACATGAAAATAACGATCTCGGCAACACAAGCCAAAAAGCAATAACGAAGCTTTACGAAAGTGTAATTTCCAACATAAAGGTCGGATCCAAAATAACCAAGAAAATCAACTTAAACAACCAGAAACAAAGATAAAACGAGATAATAGGAGTTAAGGCCGGAAACCCGGCAATGTCTATACAAATCTAAAAAAAGGACCGAAGTCCCCAAGCATTAGAAGTTACAAAACAAGTCGGAATACGACCCTTCAATCCATAGTTGCGACAGAATTTCCTCTGCATAAGTGTTAGCCTCGACATCTTTACGAGTATCAGCTGCTTCTGGGGTACCAGAGACGATAAAATTGTCCTTCACAAAATAATTAAAGTCCATTCCACTAGTAACTAGATCCGTGTCCAAAACCAGAGATTGATCGATTACATTGGCAAAAGACTATTCAACCGCATTTTCCACTAAAGCTTAGCCTCCTAAAACTCGGCTTGTTAACTTTTCAATTAACGCTCTTTTTCCTTCATTGCTACCTCTGCCGAAGTGATAAAAGTCTTCAGATCCACCTCGGCTTTGGTAAGTTTTTCATTAAAAGCCTTGATTTCAGCCTCCAAATTGATCTTCTCTTTAGAGAGCTCGTCCACTTTGAGAGCAAGTGTCGCACTCAAGGAACTGGACGATTTATAGCTCAAATGAAGCTGCCGGAATGATTGGATCATAGAGGTTGACTTCAAGGACTCATCCTCCATTCGATCCAAAGCAACCGACATGTCAGCTTTGAGCGGAAAGCTTTCAATCAATATGGGAGGTGGCCTTATCACAATGTGAAAACCATTCGAGACTCCTCTTTTCCAAAGTTTCCCAGGCTCAAGGAACACTGCATCCCCAAATCGAGGACGAGGAGGTGGAGGTAGAGTAACTTGTTGCGCAATTGACACCGACATATGAGCCACCCTCTTGAAGTTCAAGTCTCTTTTTCTGCGGGTTATCCTCAAGAGGGTCGGTAGGGGCCGATTTCTCTTGCTTGAGTTCTTCTTGATATATTTGTTGTAGTTGGGACCCATCATGTATACTGCAAAAATAAAGCAAGTTAAGAAACATAGCAATAAAGAAAATATATAACACCGGTTAAAGCCGAGGCAACATATCGAATTCAGCTTCCAAACCAATCTCGGATTTATTCACAATTCGACATTAGTTGAAAATCGCGTTATCTTCAACATACGTCATCAACGTATTGAAAGTTGTCCTTCTGCGTCAGTGAGTGACGACTCAGGTTTGATATTGGCTAGGAGTTTTACGGTAATGCCTTTGGGACCAGTATAAGGGGAAACTAGTAAATGGCCTTCCCTCTTTGTTAAACTTGCCCACGAACCAGGGCTAACAACCAGGGTGAATAGAAACCTTGAAGAACTGGTTTTTGAAATTCTTAAAAGATTGCATAAACACGCAAAAAATTCCAAGGGAGGGCGCACCACATATGGTAAGCCAGCCTTTCCATTACTTGGCCTCAGATCTAGTTCGAGATGTATACATTGTAAATAAATAGAAGAATTGAGGAACAGTGCATGGAATGCCGAGATAGTTGCAAACCAGCTCGAAACCTCGAACAAAAGCCTAAGAATTGGGATGAAATTGAGTGGGAGCGATCCATAGATACTTCAACACTGCCATCTGGAACTCAGTAAAGGGAAATCAAACCCCCACCTTGGTGGCCAAATCTCGATAGAAAAAGAAAAAATGGGGCTCATCCTCAGCCGGGCCCACATAAGCTGGCTTATCTTCAGCCGCGGGTAAAAGATCTCACAAAAAGTTTTAAGAAGTAAAAAAATAGCAAACAATACAAATGGGAAGAAAGTGTTCAGAAAGTACCTTTTTGAGGGGAAGAGACGAGAATAAGCAAAGAAATAAATCAGAACTCCTGGTCAAAGCTTCGAGCGAAATAAACCCAAAATGGTTACAGAAGGAGAACATGATGCGCAAATGAAAACCCATAAATGGTGAAGTGAGGCAAAATGAAAAGGAATGCTAGTAAAATAACCTTTTGGGCATGAAGATGAAAAGTTAGGGATCGAAGGGGAATTTCCATCACGAGCATTAAATGCAGATCATCATTACGTGCGAAACGTGATGGCAGTGTACACGCCTCGACGCACGAGCTAGCAATCAGAACATGACACGTGGACTAGCGTAACTGCCAAGGAAATGGCGAAGAGATGGAAAGTTAGGCTGATGTGATTGCATTTCAGGCTTTAGCGCCGATATAAGCTCGACTCCCCTCACCACCTCGGCATACATGTTTGAAACCCTCACCTTGGCTCAGCACCAACTAGAACTGGCCGAACTCAAGGCATACATGCTTGTCGAACCATGACACGAGGACAATCTTAGCAAAGATCTTAAAATACCTCGGCCAAGTACGAGATCAACCTCGACAAACATGCATAAACTCAGCCCCAAATGGAAGCTCTAGCTAAGCTTAGCAGCTTGGTATAGCCGAGATTCTCAGCAGACCTCAACACCCCAACAGTTCAAGCTCTCGAACTGCATGGCTCAAAGACAACTGTTATAGACTAGAATATAAGATCTGTATCTCAACAACTTAACAACATATAAGTGATGGATATGATTATTAAGACTCAATCCCGACAATAAGATAAGGCCTCATAACAACCTCATAACAGACTAAGTGGATCCAATCCGGTAACTCACTATAAATAGAAATCATTCCCATCAGGTACACATATTTTTGCTCATATTTACTTTTGCCATCACTGTGCATATACCCTACATCTTGGCTAATGTCGTATCGTTCAGTGCATAGTGATCTATATGCCCTTGCGAAATCACTCTCATAGATATCCATAAACATATCCGATATTGAACTATCACCCATCGGGTGAACATTCACGATCTACCCAGACCGAAGACGATTCCACAACCTTGCTGCTAGAGGTGTAAATAAGCTAGGCTAGGTTTGGCTTTAACTTAAATTGGTCAAGCATGTATAAAAAACATTGGTTCTGCCTGACCTGTTAGCCTGTGTAGGCCCCAAATTACAAGTTTGGTCTGACTTATATTTAAAAAATAAAAACCTAAGCCTAAGCCTGTTAGCCTATTTAAGCCTATTAAACATTGAACAATTAAAAGAATAACTAAAATAATAGTACTTTATTATTCAAATTTATTGAAATAATAATTTTATTTAAAATAAATAATATGATATAGACCGATCTGTAGGCTTATAGGCCCGATATGTACAAAAAAAAAGCCCATAGCCTTTTTTTCTAAATAGGTTTTTTTAAAAGCCTAGGCCTGTTATATTTTATTATTTATAACAGGTTAAGTCTGGCCTAATATAAACTAAGTCGTAAGCTCCTGTAGGTCAGTCTAGTTCATTTACACCCCTACTTACTGCTGCTGCTTTTTTTTTTACTAACTTTTTGACCAAGTATTTTCTGTCTTTCGTCTTTCAAACTCACTTGCCAATCCAACGCATGAGCTCGGTAGTAAACGAAATCGAAACTTGGAGAAGAGTTATCACTTATCAGAATTAAGCACACCACGGTATGTGGTATGTGATTCATGAGAGCTCACTTGAGAATTAAGGTGATTGGGATGAAGAGGATCACACATGAATTAAAAGAAAACTAGAGTTTAGTTTTTTTTTTTTGGTAAGTTAGTTTTCTTTTTTTAGTTACGGGGTATATGAAGCTAGACTTTGGTGTCTCTTTTTTTATTTATTACTTAAGAGATATGGGCAGCCTCACCCCAAAATATTCCACATCTAGAATGAACATAACCCCAACATCTAGTATAAATCCACTGAAAGAAGCTAAATGCTGGACTTAGGATGATCAGTCGAAAAATAATGACCTAGTTGGAAAACTTGAGAATTATAAAACAAACATGCATTTTGGGTTTCCTTTTAACCTTGCGGACTCTCCATTGATTAGACACACAATAAAACTTCAAATAGTACACTTTTGGATTTCCAAATTCAACTTATCCTCCCTTCGTTCTCCCAAATATCTAACGAAAAAAGCAACTTATCAAGTAGACACTTCCATACATACAGTCATGAATGCTTGAAAAGTTGAATAAACAACATATACCAAATTCCATGTATAAGATACATATATATATAGATTAAATTAAAATCCCCAAGTCAAGGCATCACCTCATCTACGTGATGAAGGCAGTCACTATAACATCTTACATATCCCTCCATACTCTTTTCTACCATTGATAAAATTGAAGAACACCAACCGCACACATGTAAAAAAAAATAAAGACTTACCTAAAGGATGCTATTATAGTAGCCTTCTGGTTTGTGATCCACCGTAGCATGATATCAATAGGCTTTAGCTAGTTATATAATTATTTTCACAACCTTCATGTCTAAGTATACAGATCAAAATAATCAGCATAATTGGAAAGGTGGATTCAGCCAAAAAGATTCAATTTTTTCATCAGTTTTTTGTCTTTGGTTCTACTGAAAACTTGACCCAGGAGTGTATATTGCAAGGTTAGACCACTCATTGCTACCATTCCAACAGCTTGAATCACCATTTTGCATACTCAGAAATCTCTCTGCATTGCCATTGCTCTGCATCTCCGACCCGGGATTCCTACCCGAATCCGGATTCACCAGTGGACCAGAACTTGCATTCTCCCCAAAGTCTTGCATTTGAACCATTTTTAGATTTGACCCAGTTGAATTCAGACCCTCCAAGAGGCTCCCCAAATGCCCATTTGATGCCAGAAGGGAACTGAAACTCCCACCAAAATTTAGCACCCTTCGGTCCTGATCAACCGGGTTGGAGTAAATCCGGGTCGGGTCAGATTCTGGAGCAGGAGCCTGGACTGCAGAGGATGTAGAAGAAACTGATGGTGATGGAGAAGATGATGCAGAGGGTTTGTAGTTGCTGGATGATCGTTTTGTATTCTTTCTGCTTCCACCACCAACTGGGATGTTTCTCAAAGAACCTCCTTTGGTCCAATACCTTTTGCAATTCTTGCAAAAATGGCGTGGCTGTGAGAGGTTGTAGTTGTTGTAGTAGCAGAATTTGGTGTTTGTTGATTCACAACGTGGGCATTTAAGTTGTTCTTGTTCAGGAAACTGGGGTTTCATAGGTTGAAATGCCGTTGGGACTTGCATTCTCTCCTATGCCTTAAAGAACTTCAGTTTTTATTAAGCACTTTCTGTCACCGTGGAAAGGTTTGATCAGTTTGACAACAAAGTTCAAACCTTTCAAGGGATTGAATTTGAGGTTGAGGGCAAGTTTGTTGGGAAGAGAAACAATCAAGTCCAAAAAAAGGTACAGCTACAACTAAGCAAAGAAGTGGAAAGAAGACAAAAAAAAAAAAAAAGGTAGGATATTTATTCAGACCCTGAAGTGGGTTTTCAGTATAACAAACCAAAATCCACATAAACTGATAAAAGTTTTCTACCTAAGAAGCAATTGCACAGAGTAGTTTCAAGATATATAAGCTCAAAGAGACAAGAAAGTTACATGCTCTGATATGGATATAAGTGCAAAAGTAAAGTGATTGATGATTGAACTTGGAACTTCCCTTGTTTGTTCTTGGATTTCTATGGATGGAGGAAACTGGATGAAAAAGCACACAGATTTAACTGGGTTCAGAAGAAGACAAACAATATTCGAGGAAAAGAAAAGCTTGATGGAGAGAGATGATTTATCAGTTTGTCCGCGTAAGTGTGACGAGTGACGACTACCACAGCCTTGAAATAGAAAGAGAATGCCAGAAGCATCGGGCTTGAATCTTGAGCTTTTTTTTTTTTGTTGAAATTTTTTTTAATCAAGAATAACGATATCTGATCAATTTTCTTAAAGAAATTAATAAGCTAGTTTTAATAAAAAAGACTTATCTTATATGTAAAATAATAAAACATTATCGTTACATATTATTTGTAAATAACTATCTTTATTTTAGTAGTCAACGAACGAGTCCATGACCGAAGGACAACAATAATGTGTAATAGCTGCCATTGATTGAACATCCAGTAACAGAACTGTACTGGAGAGGTAATAATTAAATAAGAGGACAACAATATTGTAATTGAAAAAATTGATAAAAGGACAAATAAGAATATTGAGAAGAAGGAAATAAGTATAAGAACATGAATTCCTATGGTTATAAACAAATGAGTGACAAATCAACACGTTTATTCGTGATTAAAACAGTCTTTTTTTTTGTTATCAAAAAAAAAAAAAAAAACAGTCTTTTTTTTTTTTTTTAATATTTGTGATATAAGAATGTGTGATGTGTCTGTCAACTTAATTAACACACCGACCACAGAAGACAACTAATGACCTCACTGCTATTTTATTTTAAGAAAAAAGAGTTCATCTTTTTAAATGACATAATTTATATCATTTCACTCTCACAACGAGATCCACTTTTTTATTTTTTTGTCAACTCTCTCTCCTTCTTTATTTATTTCTTTCTCTCTTAAAATGACATAACTTTACATCCTTTAATATGACACACATTTTTTGTTTTATTTTATTTCTTAAAAATATAACATATTTTAATAGAAGGCTTTAATATCTCTTTTATTGCTGTAGATAAAAATATTTATAACAATACTTATTTTCATCATAATACAATTTCATATCCTGGTATTTTTTTAATTTTAAAATACATCTCCGTATTTTAATGTTAATAAATTTACTATAACTTTTCTCTGCAATAACAGCAAAAACAAACAACCCTCGGGAGAAACTTGACCGACGTAACATAAGTCTGAGCTTTGGGTTGTGCTGCTGAGCCAAGCCAAGCCAGCCGCATGGGTCAATGAGTCTGAGCCGCCGCCGCCGCGAACTGGTGGCCCAGGGTACTGTCCACCACAAGTTTGCGCGTGAACAAAGCAAACGCCACCCCATCATTATTTGAGTTTCATCGGAAGATCATGACCGTTCAAACCCATATAAGAGAATATGGGACGTCAAAGTGTCAAGCTGTGTGATGAATCAGAATGAGAACGGTTGCGTTGAGTTTCCGTCACACCAACCAAAAGCCACAGCCAATGTCACCCGCCACACGTGGCACAACCCCATGAGTGAGTGATATAGGTGCTCGAGTGACAAGCTAGAGTGAGATGTGGAAGAAGCTAGGCTTCACGTGTTTGTTTTTCGTTGCGTGGGGCTGTGACATGGGAGAACAATTTCAAAAGCAAAGTATTTTTTGATCGTGAAAATAAAATAAAATTATGGGATCCATTTTAATTATTTAGATAAAAAAATTTAATTTAGGATTCTCTTAAAATTTAAAATAGATTTAATTAATCAAAATTATAATTTCTCTAAAATTTAAAGAAGATTCATGTTAGTCATTCAAAAGGCAAATCTATTTTAAATTTTAGAAAAATCATGAGTTAACTTTTTTAAGGAATTAAATTGGACTCCGTAATATTTGTTGAGGACTTAAAAAATATTTTATTAAATAGGATTTTTTTTACATATTTTTTTTTTAAGCCTTAAAAAAATTTCTTATTTAATAAAAAGAACCAGTAAGTTTGAAGGTCCCGATACATTAAAATTTTATTCATGATGTGGAAATGGTATTGTTGGGGACAATGATCATTTTGTCACTTTTTAGGCAAAAATTTATTGGATTGTCAAGTTAGGAAATTTTTTTTACCAAAATGCCACGACACATTATAGTTATGCCACCTAGCGAGAATGGACTGACACGTGACAGCGTCTGCATGGCCAACCATTCTCACTGAGCAGCCCAGCGAGAAAGGTAGAATGCTGACACGTGGCAAAAGAACAGACATTCTCTGCAAAAGTTGTTCAGGTGGCTAATCTCGTTGGGCTGCCCAGCGAGAATGCATGTACATTTGCCACGTGGCAGCATGCTACCATTCTCGTTGGGCTGTTCAACTAGAATTGTTAGCCATGCACAGTGGCGGACTCAGGAAAAATTCTTTATGTCTGCACATTAAATGGTGGAGGTTCTGGAGGGGGGGGCAACGCTGCCGATATTTTTTTTTGTAAAGACAGTTTAGATTAACGCTTTATGTACAAGGTTATGTACTCGCTCATAATCTAGTTGCGTTCATAACAAGCTGCAGACAATAGTTTGACCAATCATTCCCCCCTAAATCTTACCAATCTTTCAAAACAAATATTAGAATATACTCCAGTATATCCATACATCATCATTCTATTTTATAGTGGTGAATAAAAAAGTCAACACTACCTGTATAGAAGGCAAGCGAAATCACAATGAAGGCCTCGTCTATATAGATTAACTTATTTGAGAATGTCAGACCTGCAATCAATCCTCTCTTTTTAAAAAAATGAAAAAGGAAACAAAGGATGAAGAGAGCATGAGAATGGATACATGACAGGGGAGGAAGAATAAGTTTTCTCTCTAATCAATTTGCGTTGCTACGTTGTTTTAATCATCTCTGTATGTTGCTACGTTGCTAATGTGAATCTTTTTTGAATTTATGAGGGATCACGATTTTAACTAAATTGATCCACTTTGAATTTCTTAGGAATCTCAAGACTAATTTTTTTTATAAGAGACTAAAGTGGGTACCGTAGTTTTTGTTAAGGACTTAAAATGATATTTACTCCTAATATAAATATTGAACCAAGAGACAAATAAGAAAAATACAACAAAGAAAAAGAAAAAAACAACTAAATTCACAATATTTATGTCCGCACTTGCGAACATGTGCCCCAACCTAGGTCCGCCAATGGTCATGCTTATGCTGCCACGTGCCCAGTCCATTCTCGCTGGGTGGCGTAGCAAAAATGTAACTTGATATTTTGTTAAAATTTAATTGAAACGTGACATACCAATATTTTTAGTCAAGGTGTGCCAGTGTGGTCAATGTCTCGATAATGTTGAGGGTGAAGTTAAAGAATAAATTTTTAGTATTCCAGTAGCACTCAAGATTCAGTCCTACAGGATAGTCCCACTCCTATTTATTTTGTTACATGTGAATAAAAAATATTATGTTATTTGAAAAAATAAAAAATTAAATGTTAACAAAAAATGATATGATATTTTTTAGAGTAAAATTCTTTTTGGGTCCACAACAAAAAACACGATCCTTATAAAAAAGTATTAGTACCGAGATCCTTAAGAAATTCAAAGTGGACATATTTAGTTGAAATTATGATCTTTCATAAATTCAAAAAAGATCCACATTAGTCCCTTAAAAGATCTACAATTGGTCAATTTTAAATTTTATAAGGACGAGACGATTATTATTTTTTTGTAAGGGACTAAAGTGAATTGTTAGGGACTAAAAAAAGCTTTATTCTATTTTTTATTTTGACAATAACACTGTAATTCTGTAACACTGGAGATTTATTCAAGAGTAAATATCATTTTGAGTCCCTGACAAAAAATACGGTCCCACTTTAGTCTTTAACAGAAAAAAAATTAGTCAGTTGGTCCCTATGAAATTCAAAGTGGACCCATTTTAGTCCTTTTGAGAGACTAATATGGCTCTTTTTTGAATTTGTGAGGACCATGATTTCAACTAAATAGGTTTACTTTGAATTTAATTTTTTTTTTTGTAAGGAACTAAGTAGGGACCATATTTTTTGTTAGGGACTACAAAAAATATTTACTCTTTATTCAAAGATAAAGGAGTATGTGGGTCCCGCGGATATTGAATTATTTCGACGGCTGTGATTTGTTATGGTCAATGGATTATAATTCAAGGTATGCACCGTCCCCGTGCGCATGGATGAAGGATTAGTTGGCCCCTGTTCACTACAATTGCGGTGATGGATGATCTCATGGACACGTGTACGGTCATCATTCACCTCCTTTGTTTATGTTTAAGTAGGGTCATGAAACTACTTCTTGAATGTTGATGAAATTAAATGACCTAATTACATCCTCACATCATCTCCTTTAATGTCCGTGATTACCTCTCTAAAATCTCCTTTTTAGATACCAATTAATTAAGGATTTATCTTTTCTGATGATGTTACATAAGATAACAATTTTTTCTACAGACACATAAATAGTTTCAAATCAGCTTTTTTTTTAATTACAAGTGGATCCCACATTAAAAATTGTATCTATGGTTGGAGATATGTTCTCTTATGTAACATAAAAAGACATAAACCCATTAATTAATACTTTAAACTATTTGACGTTGATACCAACATGTCTATATCGATATAAATATATGTGACAAAGTACAAAGTGCATTTAAGGAAGAGAAGGTGATGGGTAAAATGAAACTAGACTAGTAATGAGATGCGTATCTAATAATTGTGAATAACTTATATTTAATTTTCTCTCTCCATAGTGCAAGCCTATGTAGTGTATAAGGGCATTTTTATCTTAAAATATGAAATGTGAAATTATTCATTTTTACACATCTTCTTGTCTATGGGCATTTTAGTTTCAAAATATGAAAATGTGTTTCTCAGTTGATGGAAAAAAAATATCATGGGTGGAATAAGATTATTTTGTTCTCATATGTGGTTAAAAATGATAATGATAGGGAAAAAATTAGCTCGGAATAATTTTACTATTACTTATACCAAACATGGTAAAAAAATCCCCCTTACTTTCTTAGTTTTTCTCCCAAAATACTCCTATCAAACACCCCCTATGGCGTTTGGTAGATGATAAATTTCATTTTGCCTGAGAATTATGATTTCTGGGAATGTGGTGAGAAAGTAAAATTTTCTG